CGGGATGGGGATGAGACAGGTGGAGGGAGATGGGGTTGGGGGTTCGGGCGGTGCTGTGACCCCCCTCGATGGGGGCGGGGGGCTGGCGGATGCCCCCCCCGCGCCCCCCCCGGCTGCATCGCCATCGTCCCCCGCCATTGCAGCGCAGCCGCGCAGCCGCTCCCGCCCCCGCGGGCCCGGATGCGGCCCCCCCTCAATTGCATCGCCCCCCATCCCCCTATCTCATCGCCACCCCACTGCATCGCCCCCCCTTGCAGCCTCCCCTTGCAGCCCCCCCGTTACACTGTGCTCCGGGGGGGTTTGACCGCACGGTGGCAATTTGAGGGGGGGGGTCCATCCCCTTGTCCCTCCGGCTGAACGAGGAGGGGGGGGGCATTTCCGCACTGCCAGCGCACCCCGATACTTGTCCCCGTCATGGGGGGGTGACAGGAATGGGGGGGACACGAGCACCCTCGCCTGCACTTTCACCCACGGCGCTGCTCCTCCCCCCGCTCCGTGTCCCTGTGTGTCCCCCCCTCCCCAGCCATGCAGCAGGTCCTGGACAACCTGATGGGGCTCCCGGGGACCCCGGGGGTGGCCGATCTTGACCTCATCTTCCTCCGCGGCATCATGGAGAGCCCCATCGTCCGCTCCCTGGCCAAGGTACGGCGGCGCGGGGGGCGCAGGTCCCCCCCCGGCACCCCCGGGACGTGCGTGCGTGTTCATGGATCTGTGTGTCCCCATTCCCCACACCCAGGGGTCCCCAGTCCCCCCCGGATCCCCAATTCCCGTCCCTGGGGGTCCCCAACAGCTCTGCTGTCCCCTGAGCCCCCGGCTCCGGAATCCCCTCGGCCCCTCCCGAGTGTCCCCAATCCCCCCAGATGTCCCTCATGCCCCCCCTGCATCCGGGGGTCCCTAACCCGCCCCAGGGGTCCTTGGGGACACCCTGTCCCACCGCGGGGTCCCCGATCCCCTCAAGGTCCCTAAGCGCCCCGGGGGTCGCGCATCCCCCCAGCGCTTGGGGGTCTCCGCCCTTACCCGCCCGTCCCCGGGGCTGTCCCCGGTGTCCCCGGGGGTGTCCCCAGGCGCACGAGCGGCTGGAGGAGCGCAAGCTGGAGGCGGTGCGCGGGGACAACCTGGCGCTGGTGCAGGAGATCCTGCGGGACATCGGGCGCCTGGCGCGGCCCGAGGCGCAGGGGGCGGCGGCGGAGCTGGCCCGGATCCTGCGGGAACCGCACTTCCAGGTGCGTGCCACGCGCGCGGGGCCCTCTGTCCCGCGCCACACGCGTGTGCCAGGCGTGCGGGACTCAGGGGTGACCCCCCCGCGTGTCCCAGTCGCTGCTGGAGACCCACGACTCGGTGGCCGCCAAGAGTTACGACCCCCCCCCGAGCAGCCCCGGGCCCGAGCCCTCGCTGGGGTCGCAGCCGGTGCCCCCCGACGCCGTGCGCATGGTGGGCATCCGCAAGGCAGCCGGGGAGAACCTGGTGAGCCCGGCCTGGCGGCACCTTGGCGGGCAGGGGGCGCCGGGAGGTGACGGTGGGACATTTGGGGGTGCTGGGAGGTTTTGGGGTGCCGGGAGAGTGTTGGAGCGTCGCAAGGGGATGGGGACATCGGCAGCGTTATGGGGTACCGGGGGCGTTGTGGGGTGATGGGGCACTTTGGGGTGCCGTGGGCGTTGCGAGGCGCCGGGTGGGTTTTTAGGGTGGCTGGGAGGATTTTGGGGTGCTGGGGCCGGAGCGGGGTGTGCGCTGGGTGCGGGGCGGGTGTGGCGGGTGTGTCCCCGCTGTGCGGGGGCTGAGCGGGGCTGTCCCCTCAGGGGGTGACGTTCCGGGTGGAGCGGGGGGAGCTGGTGATCGCCCGCATCCTGCACGGGGGGATGGTGGCACAGCAGGGGCTGCTGCACGTGGGGGACGTGATCCGCGAGGTGAACGGGCGCGAGGTGGGCAGCGACCCGCGGGCGCTGCAGGACAGCCTGCGCCACGCCAGCGGCAGCGTCGTGCTCAAGATCCTGCCCAGCTACCAGGAGCCCCACCCGCCCCGCCAGGTACCGCCCCGCATCCCGCCCCGAATCCCACTCGCATTCCGCCTGCATCCCACCCTGGTCCCGCACCCACCACCCTGCCCACAGCTCCGCCCGCCCTCTGTTCCCATCTTCTGTTGTCCCCCTGCCCGTGCCACGCGCCCCTTGGCTGGCGCGTGTGCGCGGGGGCCGTGCGGGGCTGGCTGCGGCGGGCACGGGGGGCACGCCCCGCCGGGGGGGGCTCCTAGAGGGGCACACGCGTCCCGCGTGTCCCCCCCGCGCCGCGGAGGGTGACCCCCACTGTCGCCAGGTGTTTGTCAAGTGTCACTTCGACTACGACCCGGCCACCGACAGCCTCATCCCCTGCAAGGAGGCCGGGCTCAAGTTCATGGCCGGGGACCTGCTGCAGATCGTCAACCAGGATGACCCCAACTGGTGGCAGGTCAGGGGGGGCTCTGCCGGGCCCTGGTGGCCCCTGCCCTGTCCCCGTCCCCACACAGGACCCGGCCCGGCTGCCAAAGGGTGCCCTGCGCTGCCCCTCCCCGCGCCGTGCCAGCCACCCCCGTCTCCGAGGGACAAAGCAGCGCTGTCCCCGCGTGGCCTGTCCCCGTGCGGGCCGTGCCCAGGCTGTCCCTCTGCCGCGGGCGCGGTGCCCCGTGTGCCACACGGCCGTGTGTCCCCGCACGTCCCCATGTGCGCCATCGCGGGCGCGGCGCTGGCGGCGCTGGGCACGCTCGTGTGCCTGGCGCTGGCCCTGGGGCTGTGCCTGGGGGTCGCCCTGGTGGTCGCGTGGGGCGCGGCGGCGGCGGCCGGAAGGTCAGGGGGGCCCTGCAGGGGTGGCCGGGGGGGTGGTGGCACTTGGGCTCCATCCTGGAGGGCGTTCTGGGGGAGATCCAGGGGTCCCTGTGGGCTTGGGGTGTGCCTGGGAGAATTCCTGTGAAGTGGGGGGGTCCCTGGAGCTCGGGGGGTGTCCTTGGAGCTGGGTGGGCTACTGGGGAATTGGGGGGGTCCCTGGAGCAGGGGAGGGTTCCTGTGTGGACTGGGAGGTCCCTGGAAATTAGGGGATTTCGTGGAGCTTGGGATGTGTGTCCCATCGGGATTTGGGGGGTCCCTGGAGCTGAGGAGAGACCCTGGAAACGGGGAGGAACTTGGGAATTGGGGAATCCCTGGAGCAGGGAGGAGTGTGGAGGAGTCCCTGAGGTCGGAGGGGTCTCTGGAGCCCAGGGCGGTCCCCGCGGGGCTGGGGGGTCCCCATGCGTGGCTCTGTGTCCCCAGGCGTGCCACGTGGAGGGTGGCAGCGCGGGGCTGGTGCCCAGCCAGCTGCTGGAGGAGAAGCGCAAGGCGTTCGTCAAGCGCGACGGGGAGGTGGCCCCGTCCTCAGGTACGGGGACATGGCCTGGCCGCGGGGACACGGCTTGGCGGGGCGGGGGAGGGAAGGGCCACCCCCCAAGGGGGAGCACGGCGGGTCCCCTGCGCCCTGTGACAATGTCCCCGCCGCCGCAGGGCCCTGTCCCCTCGGCAGTGCCCCGCAGAAGTCCCCGATTGTCAGGGTGATGTCCCCACGGCACTGCCCCTGCAGAAGATCCCAACCGCCTGCCCCTTGTCCCTGTCCCTGCCCCTGTCCCCACCCCTTGCCCTCGCAGGGGCCCTGTGTGGCAGCCTCAGCGGCAAGAGGAAGAAGAGGATGATGTACCTGACGACGAAGAACGCCGGTGCGTGTCCCGGGGCACTACCCCGGGGGAGCGGTGGTGGCACCCGCCGGGACGGGGTGCCCTGGGGTCCCCGGGGACGGGTGCCAGCCCTGTCCCTCGCCCAGAGTTCGACCGGCACGAGCTGCTGATCTACGAGGAGGTGGCGCGGATGCCGCCGTTCCGCCGGAAAACGCTGGTGCTGATCGGGGCTCAGGGCGTGGGGCGCCGCAGCCTCAAGAACAAGCTCATCATGTCCGACCAGGCGCGCTACGGCACCACCATCCCCTGTGAGCGCCCCTGTGCCCCCTCCCTGTGCTCATCCCTGTCCCCGGGGCGTCCCTGTCCCCCCTCCCTGTGCTCATCCCTGTCCCCGGGGCGTCACTGTCCCCTGCCACCACCCCTGTGCCCCATCACAGTCCCTGTCCCTGTGCTCATCCCTGTCCCTGCCAGCGTCCTGTCCCTGCCGTCCCTGTCCCCTGCCAGCATCCCTGTCCCCTGTGATCGTCCCCGCCCGCATCCGGGTCCCCGTGGTGGCTCCCGGCCGG